TGGTTGCAATGGACTTGTTTATTCTGATGAAGATAAAGCCAATACTTTCGCTGACAATCTTGAAGATACTTTTACTCCCAATGCTTCCCCATATGATAATGATCATATTACCAAAGTCAATAGCACAGTATATTCTTTCCTTAATAGCCCTGGACCACCTAATTTCACCTTTCTTGCTTCTCCGAGAATTGTTGCGGATTTTATTAGCTCTTTAAAAACTAAAAAAGCTCCTGGATGTGATGGCATTTCTTCCAAGGTACTCAAGCATCTTCCAATTAATGCAATTACGTGCTTAACTATAATAATTTAACTCATTTATCAAGCTCTCTTACTTCCCAAAAGTATGGAAACATGCAGTTGTTGTTGTCTTCTCCCTAATGCCTCATCAAAGTTCTACTTTTCCTCAAAATTATTTCGGCCTTTGTCAGTTTACTTAGTCAAATTTCTAAAATTGCTGAAAAAATTATTCTGTTTTATATTAATCGAATCATGCCTCCTAGCTCTTGTACTCCTGATGAACAATTTGGATTCAGACATCTGCACAGCACCAATCATCAGCTGCTCCGCGTTATCAATTACATTACTGATGGATTCAATTGCAAATTTCCTACCGGACGCAATTTTCTTATATATTGCCAAAGCCTTTGACAGAGTGTGGCACCAAGGACTTATATTCAAACTAATTCAGCTCAATTTTCCGAACCACTTTATTCGACTTATTGCCTCTTACCTCAGAAATCGCACTTTTGCTGTCAAAGTTGGAAAACACCCTCTCAACTACTAGAAATTTACTGCAGGTGTCCCTCAAGGCTCCGTTCTCTCTCCTTTTCTTTACAATATTTATACTCAAGACATTCCAAAAGAATCTCATATTACTATCGCCTTATTTGCCGACGATACCGCTATCCTATCTCAAGCTTCAACCATCAATACTGTAGAAATTTTTCTACAAAACTATTTGGAGCTTCTTGAAAACTGGATGACGCTGTGGAGAATTGCCGTTAACACTGAAAAACCAAAGCAGATATTTTCAGAAAAGGACAAACAAACTTCCTTCCGCCTAATCCCATCTTCTTTGACAACGAAATTCAGTGGACGGATCAAGTGAAGTATCTCGGAGTCACACTTGACAAAAAACTCACTTTACACGAAACTCGGCAACATTTACACGAAACTGTCAGGAAATTCAATATCTCAATAGCTACTATGCGTCCTCTCCTCGGCAGACATAGCAATCTGACTATCAACAATAAGCTTATTTTATACAAGTCCATCCTTAGACCTACTTTACTTTACGGCAGTCCGGTATGGAGACACGCCGCTAAAACCCACATAAAAAGATCGAAGTTATACAAAATAAAACCCTTCGTGAAATTATTAATGCACCCTGGTTCATCCCAAAGTCATATATTCACAGAGATCTTCAAATTGATACTATACAAAATTATATCAAAAAACTTGCAACTAATTTTTTCCTTTATGTGCTATTACATCCAAACACCTGTATCAGCTCTTTGCGATGCTCACCTTTTCCTAGAGCAAAGCACAAATATCCTTCGCATATTCTAACCAAACATTTTGTTAATTATTGGAAGTACCTACTACCTTACTGATCCAACTTTTTTTCACATTGCTGGTCTGCTTTCATTCATTTCATCTTTCTTCATCATCATCATCATCTTCGCCGACTGATGGCGGCTAAGTGAAAAATCCCATTCTACCATCTTGATTCTTCATATTTTCCTTTTGTTGTTCCAGACATTCTTTTATCTGATGCAGAGAAAAAGCACGCTCTCGCGCGCTGTCACTCTCTTTCCATTCGACACAAGCAAATCAACTGTGCAGCCTTGAGACAAAATAAAGATTAATATGACAACATGAAATCCCGATGAATACGTCTGGCTCAACAGCAAGCTTCTTAACAACAAAATGGATCAAGAAGCTCTTATTGAGATATATTCCATTTTCAGAAAATCTGATTTAATCTCTTGATGCAATCCTAATGAGTTTTAATACGTTAGATCTTGGGTGTCCGCCGATAACATCGCGGCAAAAACATCGCGGACGAAAACGTCGCGGAGAAAACAACGCAATGCGAAAACGTCGTGCTACAAAACATCGTGGGAGAAAACATCGCAAAGAGAAAACATCGCAGTTCTAAAACATCGCGGTACAAAATATCGTCGTCGAAAATAAAGCAGTTCAAAAACTTCGCAGTTTAAAAACATCGTCGTCGAAAATATCGTGGTAAAAAATAAAGTATGTACAAATCATCGCATGACGATAACATCGCAGATATGCTTTTTTCAGGTTTTTAATAATTGTAAATGGATATTCCCATAATGATTTGTGAGCGCAAGATGTAAAGAAGGATAATTTTTACTTTCACATTTTTTTATTAACTAATAAATTTTTGCTGAAAAAGTAAGAAGGAAACTTAAGCATAGAAAACTAAATGCAACTTATAGATTATACTTTTCATGAAAAATTACCAGTGAAAACTTTACAAAAAATGATTTATTAATGGCCTTTGTTAGTTAACTATGTCGGTTTAAAATTCTATTCAATGCTATAAGTTGCATTAATTTTCTATGCTTAAGTTTCTTTTTTATTTTCTCAGCAAAAATTTATTGATAATAAAAAAAATTAATAAAAAATATGAAAGTAAAAATTATCCTTCTTTCCATCTTGTGCTCACAAATCATTACGGGAATATCCATGTATAGTATATTATTAAAGCCTGAAAAAAGCATGTTTGCGATGTTATCGTCATGCGATAATTTGTGTAGATACTTTATTTTTTACCACGATATTTTCGACGACGATGTTTTTAAACTGCGAAGTTTTTGAAAGCGCTTTATTTTCGACGACGATGTTTTGTACCACGATGTTTTTTTAGATCTGCGATGTTTTCTCTTCGCGATGTTTTCTCCCACGATGTTTTGTAGCACGACGTTTTCGCCTTGCGTTGTTTTCTCCGCGACGTTTTCGTCTGCGATGTTTTTGCCGCGATGTTTTCGGCTGTAACCAGATCTTGCTGAAATGAGCTTAAATAAATAAATGTCATGCCATTCTAAGTTCAGTTTGTGGATTTCAGAAAGCATATTATGGCAAAATTGTTCTAGTTTCAGTTTAATGGGTTTTCTTATAGTGAAAACTGTAGTAAAAGCTAGAAGTAAATAGAAGCACCGAAAGGGGGCATTTTCGATGGTCTGTCTGAGTTTCTAATGCAATTCAATCTGTACATCTCATTAAACATAAATCAGTGTCAATGCGTTAGTTCTCTTAATAAATTTTAATATCAGGAAATAGTGTATACAGCTCTATAAGATCCCAGAGCGTTTGAGAATAAAATAAATTCATTAATTCTTCTCTGAAAATTTTAATGAGTTATTTATATTATAAAATTTTTCATGATCTCTTGCCCTGAATATATGGAGACCACGCAAAGGCAAACTATATATTATACATATATCAGCTTGCATTAAGTTAAAAAAGCAAATACGCTAATCCATGTTTAAAGAGCTTATTAAGTTTGTACTACGTTGTGTCAAATAATATATATATTTTTTTTCCAACGGCATAATATTTCATTTCCATACTTTTCAATCATCGTAAATAGCGTTAGTAAAGTTTTTTTTCTCCTTAAAATATAATATTTTAAAACTTTGCTTCTTAATTCCTTTCAAAAAGAAATGTTTTGATAAACTTCTAACGATATGTGGCTAATTTAGAGACCTTTCTAGTAATTCACCCGAGGCAAATTCCTTACTTGCCTCACCCTTGTCCCGGCTCTGTACTTTAAAATAGATAGTAATTCAGGGCATTGAGCAAGAGGGAAAAAAAATGCGCTTTCAAATTACAGAATTACGGTAAACTTGACAAGAAAAGTAGTTTACGTTGATAAATTTTATCTTTACTTCTTTGTAACAAACAGGGGGGAATAAATAAAATCTGAAAAGTCTCAGATATTAATTTTACACTTACACCTACTAAACTATTTTTGTTGTCTTTTTAGCTTTATTATTAAGCATCATTTTCTTCGCCTTACGCCATATATAATTCAACAACAAAATTTCAAAAATTTTAACAACAGCATACCAGTATGCTCTATCCATACGTACAGATGTTACGGAAACAAAAATCCTCCAAATGGATTCGAGAACTGAAATGGATAATTTCGTTGAAATATGGTGCCCAGAATTTTTCACGTTTACAATACTTCCTTTGTTTCGTACAAGGAAGTAAAAAGAAGCTCCGTGATGAATCATCTGTGACTGAACGTTCGAGTTTGAGTTTCTGTTGGTGAACTGTTACTTTTATATTACTTTTATTTAAATTACACCCTTCATATATTGACCAGTCAGTTAGTTGTCTCTTTTTCGTTTAGTTGGTATGAAGAATTCAAAATGAAACTTGCTTCGACATAGTTACTTGTTTCGGACCCTAACCAGTTTACGCATTCGAATTTGTTGTATATCATAGAAATCGTATAACGGCTAGAAAAGCTAGGTCAAATCAAAAGCCTTATTTCAGTTCCGGTGTATCAGAATGAAAGTCCAGTCGTTGAAAGTCACGTTTTAAACGTGACCAGTTTTTCTCAGAATATAAATAAACATCTGCACTGAACACACTTATCAAAGATGAACGCTTCCTTAGAAGACCAAAGTCATCTTTAAGAGGATTCACTACACATTTTTCGCAAAATCTGAATAAAACAAAATTAATTTTTCTCTGATTTGGAAAGACTTAAAATTAAATCTGCTAAGAGTATTTTTATATTTCTAGAATTAGAACATACTAATTTTCTGTTACTGTCATTCAGTTTTACATATTTTCAAAATAAACATGGAGAAATTTGAAAGTACTTTGTTTTTCAGTACCTACTTTTATCTCAAACTAAGCTAAATGAAAAACATTTTGTTTGTCCACGTCTTCATTTGTTACACTATCACACAAATATGTTCAGAATAAAAAAAAGTCGTTGGAAGAATTGCTGATGAGATTGTAAATTTGTTTATTCATTTATTTTTTTATTTTATCAGCTTAATCCTAACGGTTGTTGAACTTTCTGCTGATAAAATGTATAAGTTACACGATATGCACACATTTGCACTCCTGTTTTTTTTTTTTTTTTTTTTTTAAATATTTGTTCATTTTTTTATTTGTTTTTTCGGTATGTTTCCTTCATCTTCGAGTTTGAAAATCGATGGGGGGGATTTTTAACTGCGGCACGCCATCATTATAACGAGTCAAGTGGTGCTGAAATTAAACCCCCGTTAGAAAACTTTCCAAGCTATGCAAAGCTCCCGAGCGAAAATGCTGAAATGAAGAAAGAAGAAAATTATAATTATGAAGAAAATCATAATATAATAAAAATATAATAATATTATTCATTTTTAAATATATAATTATGTGTTTAATACTGAGTACCAAATATTCAAATATTTCAATACAAGAATTGCACAAATAAATTGAAAAAAAAATAAAAATAAACATACAAAATTACAAAATGTAAGAAATAGTACACAAAACGTAAATCATGTATTGATGATATATATTTATCTCATAATGAGCACTTCTAAAAGTGATTTCTACTTTTTAGAACGCAAAAAGCATCAGTATTCATCCTCACCTGTCTAAAGCAATCACTTTCGCAGAAGATCAAAATCGTCTGTAATGAACGATAAACAGTGAATGATCGTTCTAAGAAAATGTCAATATATTTCCTAAATTATTTTAACATCATGCATATCTCTAATCTTAGTTTTCTCCTACGCAAAGCTTGTAGTGTTATTATGACATAAAATTCAATAATTATGGCGAAACGCTTTTGTTACCTAATTGTTGGGATGTGCAAAAACATTTATATTAATCACCGAAGCATTCCCAGATTTTTGCAGACATGTCTACCTTTATAAAATGCCCTTCACCTGCATTCAGTCGCCGATAAATTTATCAGTCTGGTTCAGCGGAAAACCCCCAAATTACTACTGATTAGAACCTATCTACATGCCACAGCTTATAACTTCTTGGAATTTACTGTGAAGGGATCAAGGATTCATTAATTACAAAGAACCTGAATCGTAGTTGTATTTACCGTGTCAGGACGCCGAAAGTAATTCATTAATATATTACAATCATAATAAATAACAGATATGCTTATAAAAATTGTTAAAGGATTAAATTAGTCAGTTCGTATGGTATAGTGGTTATAGTAAAATTCACAGTGATGAAGACGAATTACAATCTTCTCTTTCAAAGTTATTCTTTGAAAGGTTTTAAGACTTTGAAAAGTAAAAATATGTTAGTAAAAATGTATTGTTCAGCGAAATCTATAATATAACATGGTATGAAGGTGACTCATTGGTAACGCTTTGTGTTGCCACTCTGCATAACATAAGATATTTATGTTTCAAATTTAATTAGAAACCCTAGATATGTACAAGAAGTGCTTTGCCAAGCGCAATATATTTGTCTGTTGAATTTAATCAATAAAATCAGCGATTTTAAAAAAAATGTATTCCACTATTGGAATTAAAATATTTTTGCCTTCCATGCGGCAGTGTTTGTTCTTTCAGCAATAAGTAAGGTAATCAATTTTGCTTTAACATTTATTTAGTTATTAATTAACATACTAAAAGATTTAAAGTAACAAAAAAACTGCAAACTTAAAAAAAAAAAAAAAAAAAAAAAAAAAAAAAAAACTGAAAGGATTTTTTTTAGATTTTAAATTACGTCTAAAGGGGCGTTTTTTTAATGTTTTGTGTGTTACCTTTATTTATTAAATATCATGTTCTCCGCACTTAAACCATAAATTTCAGTTCAATAGCAATGTCGCAAAATAATTTTAAAATGAGCCTATCTAGAATTTCCGATACACAGTTCCGCGCGCTGGAGATAAAAAGATTGCCCCCCCCCTCCGTAGATTGTTGCCATTGCTCGCTTTCAAATCGTTGAGTTTGTTACTCAAAAATTAGTTAATTTTAAAATTATATTGCGATATTTCTGTTTAATTGAATTTTATGTTTTAAGTGCAAAGAACGTGATATTTAAGAAATAAAGGTAACACACAAAACGTTAAAAAAAAAGTCCCTTTGTGCGCAATGTAAAATCGTAATGTAAAATATGGGGGAAAAAAAAGAAAATAAATAAATAAAAAAATCTGAAATGTTTCAGATTTTAAATTACGTCCAAAGGGGCGTTTTTTAACATTTTGTGTGTTACCTTTCTTTATTAAATATCATGTTCCTCGCACTTAAACCATAAGATCCAGTGCAACAGCAATATCGCAAAATAGTTTTAAAACGAGCATATCTTTAGAATTTCCGATACAGAGACTCACGCGCTGGAGATAAAATGTGTTTTTTCTGCACAACGTTGCCATTGCTCGCTTTGAAATCCTTGAGTTTGTTAATCAAAAATTCGTCAAAGTTTTAAAAAATAGGAAATCGATCATAAAACAAATTTCAAATTTCAAATTTGGTCTTCCACATGCTCATATTCGTTGGAGGATTACGTTATTCAAAATTCGATGACTCTATGTACCGTTAATTAAGACACAATAACACGCCGAATTGTTGTTTGACTTCTGAATCTATGTACCGTTGTTTTATCACAATACGAGAAATATACATACATTTATGCAGATTTTTCATTATTTAATTTCTTCAAATATAATGCAGGACTCTAACATTTTGTGGCAACAGTTTGAAAAGTGAACCGACATTTATGAGTCCGACGCAAAATGCCAAAACGAAACTAATAGTCCTTCGGGATTCAAATCCCTTTGGACTAAAAAAGATTTCAGGGAAAAAAAAAAATTTTTTTTGTCTGAAGCAGTCAGTCAGAAATTTCTAATAGTAATAACTTAGAAATTATATTTAGTATTGTACATTTCGTAAGTTTATGAATTGTATATTTCACAAGTTTATGAAATATACAATTTTATTTTATACATACACGTGGCGAAGCTGTTACGAAGCTCGGACTACAAAAACAAATCACTTATTCAATCCTGTCAAATCGAGAACAATGCAGTTGATTGGATGTAAACAGGAATTCTTATCAAATTGCTGAATTTAGGCTGCAGATGAAATTCTCCAGTAACCCTTCAGAGCTGAGAGTTTTATCAGCTGTTGCAGTTAAGAGTTTGCCAAATAAGAATGATCTGACACGATTATAATACTTCCCAATCGGTTATTTTATAGGTTTTCCGAGAATAAAGTGCATTAACCTCGGTGAAGACAGTTCTCAGATAATGCAGCTCGGTACAAGAGCTAAGAAGTCATTCCTGCAAAGCACTTATTACTGCAAAAATTTATTGTATTTTTCATCTTCATACTTCACCGATAATTATTTTCAGGGCTTTCTAAATAATAAATAGATATAATTATAAATTATAAATTGCAACAGTTTTAAAACTTATTCAATTATATACCACAAATCCGATAATTCATTGCTTTAATTTTTTCTCTGAAAATTATTCGCTTAGAATTTTGTTCGTCTTGAAGTCTGATATGCTGATATATATATATATATGCTTTAAAATATTAAACATTATTTTCTGATAATTACTTTAATAATTATAACTAATATAAGCAGCTTTACGCAAAATAACAGTTTCTCTTACTTAACGCTTAATCTATAATAAGTCTGTTCAACTAAAAAGATTTTGTAGGCCGTTTTGGAAATACATTTTATTTCGGCGGGCCGCGTAGTGTATATATATAAATTTTTTTAGCTGAAAATTCAAAACAAAGTACATTATTATTACAATTTTTATTACTATTCACAAATTAACAATAGGACATTTATGACTATACATAAATAATTATAACAGTATAATTATATAGTTAAGTAAATAATTAGAACAAAATAGTCAATAAAACGATAGAATAACCATATATATACTATAATCAATGAGATCTTTGTTTCTCCTAGTTATTTTCAAATCGATCCCAACATTTGTATTTTCACATCGTAATTGATGTTATGTTGCATCCTTTCGCCAGTTAAGGGCTTTCGGGATTTATGCTTCGTAAATCTAATTTTCAACAACAACAACAACAACAACAAAACAAAAAAAAAAAAAAAAAAAAAGATTCGCAGACGTAACTTGATTCAAAAGTACTCATAATGTTTTGTGTCGCATTTTGTAAATTTCGTAAACTCCACTGCGGAGCGTATGCAGCCCGCGGGTTGGACATCTCTGATCTATACGACGCATGATATATGTTGCACAGATGATACATTATGTATTCATTCTTCAAAAAACAGAGCAGCTGTATTTTGTTAAATTTTACTTAATTTTAGTATTAATCATACGGACTGCAGATACACTCATATTTCTCAAGTTACTATAGACAATGTGCTGATAAATCCATCATAAACTGAAAATACCGTAATGTCTAAAATGCAACCAATTTACCATGAAAATACGCAGAATCCTGAGAAGATTTACTACTCAGCAATATGAGTCTAGCTTATAGTAACACAAATTAGTTGAACATAATGTTTAATTTGTAATAACGTATTAAATATCTCATTAAATTTATTGAACAACGCCCCATAAATACAAACGACGCGGAAGAATATTTACTTTTAGCGTAAACAGCTGAAAATGTGAAAAGGTGTATCAAATTTTTCCCAGATTGGCCCTGAAGATAAAAATGGTGCACCACTTATTTAAGGAATGAGCATTATTTTTTGCGAAATGATCATTTTGCGTAGGAATGCACGCGTTCCTGCCACCACTAGAATGTGGCCTGGAAGCCATTTCCCGCAAGCGAGTCCATCACCTTTTGCGACTTCCCCTGGATCTTGTTACTAGCAATGATCCTTGGACGTCAAGGATTAACTGTACGTTGACGGAGATATCGGCAGATTGCGATGTTCCTTTTGTTCAGGGATCAAGGTCAAGAGACAAATTTGACAGCGACACGCCAGATGTTCAGTTGTTCTAATGATAGGATTGTCTGCAGTAACCCGAACGACACACCAAAAACATTTGCAAAAGCGATGCTCATTCTTCGATGATCCATATACTTGAGTTCCCGAATTCGCTCCATATTTTTGAATGTGAATCTCGCAGGAATTCTTCTAGATCGCTTATTGTATCCAAGGAATATTCTTCCGCTTTTGAAGTGCCACTGGAAACATTACGTACGACTCCTAGCCTCATGATTTCAGTTTTCGGATCCATGGTCAATATTTGTGTGGCTGATTAGGCTAGTTTAACGCAAAATTTCACCCTGGTCCGTCTCTACGCCTCTCTGTCCATGATGCAATCGCAGATCGCACATACTCCATCACAAAACTAC